AAGCTGTTGCTAAGCCGTTAACCGTAGCACAATTAATACGATGCCCTTCCGCACTCATTTCAGGTACATTGTGCAATGCAGTGCATACGTTGACGTTAGCCTCATCATTGCGGCCAACATGCTCTACATTCGACATAACACGTAATTCAGCCACACCCACCGTTAGCTAACGCTTGATGTGCATCGCTTGTTTAATGGTATCTCACAGTGATTATTTCACCTAGACAGGTACACACACCATGACACGTAGACTCCACTGAGCATAAGTCATACCATACTAAATTGAACAACATGTCCGCTTAGCTTCAGTGTGGCCAGCGATGCTGAACTTCAGTGTCCGGCTCAGTTCACTTTCGGTGGAGAGGCGCGGATGAGGAATCTCCAGTCGGTTTTCCGCCCATGCAGTTTTTTGTTGTGCTTTTTTATGTGCTTTTACCTAATAAACTAAACATTTCAGTTGCAATTCATGAATATTTGTGTTCCAAAAACTGCATAAACTTAAAAGTCCGGTTAACGACGTGGCTGCCACGATAAAGCACGATACATCGCGGTTGTTAGACACCGATTTAGCAAAATGTGGTGATGTATTACCTGGACAACTGGCGGTTGCAGCGTAATATGCACAATTTGTCGGTAAGTATATGTCGAATAACGTGCTAAGAACCATTTAAATTGTTATTGAGTAATCCACAAAAAGCCAAATGCATAAGTTTAAACACGACGGAAAAGTTGTAATGCTGAACAGTTAAGTTTTGAAGCAGGGTAGTCCTGCAGAAGTCTGTTGTTGTAATTGTCGAGCGAAATGCCATAATAAGTTTATTTTCCTTAGACATGATTTATCCAAACCTAAAACGCTTACTCTGAATATAAGTTGGTAGTAAGGTTCAGCAATCAATGTAGCTAAAAGTACAAATTTCATCATATTAAAATTAACTACTGAGCCCGAATTAGAAAGTTCTTCACAGAGTTCATTTAGCATATCCCTGTCGCTGTCATACATCATTCCTATCAGGTAGTTCTGCCAATGGTAAGAACTAACGCCTTTAACTGGTAACAAAATAAGAGAAGATCCTCACGTTTCATGTACGGTAAGGACGAGTCGGCTCCCCACAAGCACCAGTTCTGCTCGAACATACAATATTTCATAAACGTACTTAGAGGAATTCTATCAACCGAGGGAATGTCCAGGATTTCCTATCAGATTTCGTGCGAAGAGTGGGGAGTGATTCTTCTAACGCATAGACCACATCACCAAATTGACTAGTATCATAGTCTCTCACGTCGTAGCTCCACTGAAAGCCAAGACAGGAATTAACCTAAGTGTGAGTGGGTAAACGTATGCTAGGCTGGAAGTCTATCCATGCAGCAGTGTCCATCAAAGCTAGATGGCTGATTTCCGAAGAATATGGAACACGCGGTCATAAATTTAGTACTGTCGTGCGATACGCACAACGGGTAATAATGAACATCTGTGTACGTACATACTTTATTGTATATAGTATATCTGGGTCCTGCTTAGAAAGCAATTTGCCTAGAAAGGCACTGTCACGATGGATAAGAACGACAAGCGAAATATCTGCCACATCGCATACTGCTGCATATCCAATCACATCAAAAGGTATTCAACAGCTTTCATCTCTGAGGCGCACGTATAACGTTTGTAGCTTGTCACTGAATGCTTACTCCGGGCCGCAGCTCCTATACGCTTAACTTCACTTTACTCCTCTCATTTTTTAAATCCTATGTCCTTTGTCTTAATTTACGTATAATAATTGAATTATAATTGCATAATACTAGGGTTTACTGTGGGTGATGCTACTGGATTGGTCAGTACAAGAAAAAAAAATCCGTGTTAAGCACGTGGGTTGCCTCCATAAGTCAAACCACCGTGTACAAAAATTTTATTGTATAATGCGACAACTGTAATATACATAGCCAGGAAAAATAACACTGCTGGAAATGGGGCTTTGAAAACAAATATGTGCTATCACGACTTTCGCATAACCACTTACTGCATGTTTTGTTTGAGTCTCAGTCAAGTACAGTTATTGTTGTGCAGAAACGTGTACAATAACCTGTCGCCAACTGGCTACATTGAGTCAACAGCAAGTAACGGTTACTCATCTAACAAATGTTAACAGACTCTTAATACTGACCTTATAGATGAATTTGGTAAAATCTTGTGCCCAGAAACTAGGTTGTCCAGCAATGTTACACTTAGAATATTTCGCGCCTATTTCCTATAAATTGGAGACTATCAAGTCAGACAAATGTATCCAGTTGGACCAAACATGACCTGCAAACCGTAGCAATCTTGCTGCCAACAGCAGAATCAACACGAGGTACAAGCGCAGATTTTGAAAAGAAAGGCACTCACGAATACCTGGTATGTCGCATAGTTTTCGGCAATGAATAACAAATTAAAATCTATATGCAGTGGACTGTGTGTGAGAATTCTGACCACAACTTGACAGTCCACAAATGTTTGGTGAGCTATACATCAGTCCGCGAAACGACCCGACTGCTGTCCTACGTAGCGTTCTGTTAAAGAGAAGATAGCAAGTATTTTGTGCACATTAGATGTTGTCCTCTGAAGGAAGGCTTTCCTGAACTACGCTGTTTGATTTTTCGTCAAATTCGAGCTCTGAATCAGACATACGTCTTTCCAAGCCCCATACATTTTTTTAACCAAACCGTCCGACTTTATCTCATGTGAAAGTCATTCTATCCAAACTGACTAGCCCAACAACCTCCCCGTGGTGTCAGCTTGGTGGCTCGGGTTTACGCCCTTCTAGTAAATAATTCGGCGGCAGTGTTTCAGGACGTGGTGGGTTTTCGCTTGCTAAGCCTTTTCCCTAAAAAAGCTATAAAAGTCCGGTTAACAACACTGTGACGTGGTGGTTGTGACTCGCAGTTAAAAAAGTCACTGCCCCTTATTTCATAATGGCGAAACATGGTATACCAGGAAGATAATGCTCATCCGTACAATCATTGCAAATCCATGAACGTCAAACATCCCTCTAGTGTTGGCGACACGTTCAGACTCAAGCAAAAACAGCAAAACCTTTACAAAGCCAAGCAACACAGCTGCACACCTGCACGCACGCAGAAATACATTCTTGTATCAACATATACGACACTATTATGACCATCCTATTGTACATTCCTTGCTCATCTGTTGCACTCTTACTAAGATTATGCCTGTTCAGGCATGCCACGCTTAGCCTTGAATGAAAGATTATTTATTCATTTATTCGACAAATACTTCAGTAAACCACACCTATTTAAAATTTTAATGAAAAATGCTTTTAATATTGTTACTCATCAAATATATTGTGTCTGCCTCTTCTCTTTACTGTTAGCCGAAAAAGGTAACGTGATTGCGATGGATCCCCGTCTAGGATTCAGTGCTTCGCGACAGACGAATGCATCCGGCAAAATTAACCCGTGAGAACGTTATGCAGCTGACGATAAGTCAGCTGACGTCACAGTTTACTAGATGACAAAAGGGGTTGATTTTCGGAATGTGATTTCACTTACTGTTTTTTCATAGAAGCAACGGAGTTCAGTCAGTAATAGGTGGGCCGGCGAATCATTTGAGTCTATCTCAGAATCACTTTTAAAGCAGGCGATACAAGTGCCAGGCTGGCATGCGAGATCCATCAGACCTTTAACCAGACTACTCAAAGCGTTCCTTCCTGAAACAACAAGTATAGTGGCATGTGGACTGGATGAACCACTAGTTCGCACCTCAATCATCCAATTAGAAAACCGCTTTTAAAATTACCGTAATACTCCTTAAAATAATCATTCTAGTGTCTAAAAGCGCCGAAAGACCGGTTACACCGCTCAAGTTTAAAGCATTTAGAACCGTCAACGCTTGCCCGGACATTGAATCGGCAGTTAACTTTGGTAAGGAAATGTATGTTTTACCAAACATCAACGGGTACTAATAACCAAGCAATTATGGTGCAAATAGTCTAACTATAAAAAACAACGAATTTAACGATATACTGCATAGAAAATGTTGGCACAAATGAGTAATGGAAATAACAACACCTCTAAATTCATCCTGTCCCCGATGTCTTATTTATTATGTAATGTCGCAACGATTTCCAACACAGCTAAGAAATTAGCTCCGATACAGTTAACTACATCAATTCGCCCAATGTACCAACATAGATAGACTAGTAGTTGCTAGGTTAGAGTTCCCACTGTAAGACAAATCTCCGGTGGGTTGCTACTGTTCTGTGATACCGACCACCGAGCCGTCGGGTGTCTCCGAAAACAGTCGCAATACTGCCGGGTATGCCCATCGTCAGTTACAGCCTACTGATTTAATAATGTAGAGCAAAGAAATTCAAAAATGTGATGCGCACCACAAAGGATTTTGATGTAAAATACTGCTCCTATACAATTTTGTCTTCATGGCTCTAAGTCACGCTTGCGGAACGGGGATATTGTACTGTACGTTGTACTACCAGAATCGTGCTCAAGGTACATCCACTTCAGTTATGCAATTTCACTTCTTCTATATTACTTAACCCAAGAAAATTGTGGTTACTGAGTATCAGAATTCGACAAAATGCGGCTTGATTCTGACGTAAGCCGCACCATCACGAAACCATGTTTGTCTTATTAATAATTATTATTTAGTAAGGGTTCAAATGGTTCTTTCCTGCTATTAATAACTAGTTAAGGAACTGTAAAACCATGGTTTTACATTCTATAACATTCGATACAGGTAGACTGGGTAAGGTTTTGCCTTGATAACAAAAAAACAGCTCCAGTATTAATGAAACCAACGATGTTTATCATTTAGGTGGTTTACCGGAAGTAGCACATCCACGCAGATTTGTTTCAATAGCAAAATGTCAATCTGTGTAGTTATCGGCAACAGTTAATATAGAGATGTCTTGTAGAATCGTTGGGACATGGCATTGTCCACTTCAAATTTTTCTACGTCTGCCGTTAAGACCAACAAATGCAACCGCAAGAGTGGCTGACATAATTATTTCAGTAGTCAACAACTGGTTAGATTGAGTTAAGTGGACAGATACTGTCTTATCGTAATGAAAACTTGCAACTTTTTCGACCTGTCCTTATCATTCGGCGGGGATTGCATAATGGTATAATCTAAGCAAGTGTCTCTATGTATCCAATTATCATATCTACCCGCTTCCTTGGAAAGTGGTGAAGTCTGCAGTAGCCTTCTGTCATCATTAATCAATATATTATGATCAGCAAAATATGCGAACGGAGAATAGGAAATGAGTAATTTTAATTTTTTAGCGTTAATATCTCGTTTAGGAAGTTCTGAACCACCTTTTCTATACAACATCGAAAAACTTGCAAGTATATGCTTAGGGAACACAAATCACTTATTTTTCAGAAGTACAGGTTTGTTGAGCTCGAACAGGGCCACTTCCTCCGCATAGAATTTAAAAGCAAACTAACTAGTTGGTCTTTCGGGGGAGGCGTTTGGTTGTTTTTACATACTGATTTTTGCCACATAGAACAGTGACTACGTCTATCTTCATGCTATGTAAAGAAATCAGTCCCGACAGAAGTCAGATCAGTGAGCATTACGCACATCACAACGCGCAAATGTTATGTAACTTTTAATACTAGCAAGGACTGAGAGTAGTCAAAAAGCTTAATGAAATCGATCACATAGCATGCCAAGCCACTTACTAAAACCTACCGGCAAAGTTAAATAAACTGATGAACATTTGATACCAAGTGAGTATTGCGGTCTTTTGAGTTACGTTTGTATCCACACTTCGCTTCGAAACTGCAAGGTCTGGAAGTTCCCATAAATTCAAAAAATGTGTAATCCGGCACTGGCTGTTGTCAACAAGCGATTTGACTTTGATCTCTGTTACATTCTCTCTGGTTCATAAAATGCAAGACTGTAGCATACCACCTTGTGAACTTTCCAATTATGCGTCACATAGAGACACGGAAAGCATGGCGCCTCGAGAAATATTTAAGATCACGACTGCGTACATCATAGTGTAAGCTGCGATTCAACTCACAATACTACAGTCCATCATGATATATTTGGCAGTACTGCTTTCCCTTAGTGCGCTACTTTATTTTTGTAAGTTATATTCATTAATGCGTTGCAAAACCGAACCAACTACCATCCTTCAGCCTCGCAGACATTACAACACTACAGGGGTCTATGTTTTTCCAAAAGTTTTTACACCTGGTGATCTGTTGATCCTAATTTCTATGTACCCAAGAACAAGGTAGCTTAATATACATGCGGATATTTTTGTAGAGCCCTACAGGTTTCTATGTTGCAGATTTTATTACAGTGAGAAAAGCTGTTCGGACACTCACCATAGCACGTAGGTTGTATGTGTATCTTCTCTTGCAGGAGATACTGAAGCATGGCGTGTACCAGTTGTTTCACTGATCCATTCATGATGCACGGATGTCCTAAACAGTGGTTCAAATAGAAGCGTACATTTAACTTACCAATAGTAATCTAGTGTCAAGGTCGGTGTTTTGACCACAAATACCATGAACGTACCGACAGAAACAAAAATACAGCATAGGTAATAAAAATGTCTTCTAGTATTTCACCGTAAATGATTGACGACTGACTACCTCAGGCTGAACGATTCTAAACATATACGCGCCAAACTGTGAAGTAAAAGCCCAGGATATTACTCTGAGTTATGTGAATAAAGGAACAATTTTGGAAGAAAACTTTGTTATATACCTGGACGAATTTTAGCCAATTCGATGTGGTTCAGAAGGCTCCGGCCACGAGAGTGCGAAAGGATAAAGCATATAATGGACACTGAATGCACAAAGAGTGCATAGTTTAACTCCGCTGCAGAGTAATATTCCTTGCCATTACTGGACGAAGAACTGGCTTCTGTGGAGAAAGAGTGAGTTAAATACTGTTTACTGCGCCATAGGAGAAATGCCAAATACAATAAAGATAGCGCTATTATGCAGCTATGCCGACCCTTCAAATTCTGACGTGCTACGTTTCATTCGTCAAGGAATTACTGCAGCACATGCTTTTGATTGTAGCTTCAGGAATGTGTCGTTCCACACAGCTATCGTTATTTTAGACAATCAGGGATGTGTTGGAATCAGCACGCGTTTCTGCGCATGGTAGCAAATCAGTTCGGTCTATTAACAAATAGGAAACCAAAAGTTATCAAAGAAAGTGTAAGGCTGCAAAAACATCGTGCCGGATGGAGAGTGACTTCTCGAAAGAAGATATTGATACAAACAGACAAAATTTTCTTATCATCAATGTCCCTTCGCTTCTAGGGGAAAGAGAATAACCTAGGGCCATAAGGATCTGTCGCGAATACGCACATCAACGTATCACTTAGCCACAGGAAAGCTACCCCTATAATGATGGTAAGACGCCGTTGGAAAAGTTGACGGTTTTATTTGCAATTGTGCAGTGTCCATTTAGGTACAAGAACTGTGGCGTATTGTAATAACCATGGATCCTATCAGTTGAAAGCTTTTCCGGATTTCTGCCACAACGTATCGAGAGTTTAATATAAAAGTGTAAGCCAATTACATGGTATGTACCGCTCACATGTGCTGTTCGCAATTTTTATATCCGCCAGTTGTCCCCAAGCAGAAGCAGACACATAATGACATGAGATGGCGGCCGCGGTTACTGCAAAAACTGACCGTTGCTCGTGAATGTTTGATAGAAAATTCAATAGATTGAAGAGCGCATTCCTCAAAATTTTCTCTCGCTAATGAATATTGAATAAGGTTCCACCAGGTGAGGCTAACTCTAGTTTAAGTATATGTTAATAAGCTGAAGATGTTTTCGGTATGCAGTAGGACACTAGTTAGCAGTTCCGACCACTCTATAGTCAAGCTATCCCAAACCCCAAATATGTCACCCATTGCAATAACAGTAGATGTCAAGTGTGTATATTTTCTCTAAACATAGCGTGACGGATGAAAACTGCTGTCTCCACAGTCCTCGGTTTGTATTTCGACACAAATTTGACAAAATTAATGACCAGATGCAAGGCATCTGGACTTACATTATGACCGATAGTGTCTGACTGAAACCACTGTCATCCGCTCTAGTAGCTTTTCATCATTATACCTCTAGCAGCTTTCTAGAATCAAGAACCTTCAATTTCAAGTGCAAAGATCATACCTTAGGAAATTCCCCCTCCCCTCGTACCAAGAAAGAAGTGCATCACCTCAATAAATCCCGTATCCAGACAATTCTAGGAAACAAGATTTACCGTAAAATTGTGCGAATGATGAAACAACCCAGCGAAATCAATCAGCATGGTAAAACTTCGCTGGTGGAAGTGGAAGAACCAAACTACTTCTTCGACTGCTCTAGCGGTGACTCATTTCCTGTATTAGCATCCACACATTTGCTCAGTGGTCTGAGAATTTGCCGTCTCCTATCCATAATACAACACTGCACAATAAGCTAACCCAGCTGCAATCAAGCAAGACATGCGGGAATGACAGGTTGCCCCCTGCCGTCCTCAGGTACTATGCAGATTCTTTAACCCACGTGCTTAATGATTTGAATACAAAGTGCCCAAAGCAAGGAAAAAATCGCGTAAGTTTGGAGTTTTGCTAGTATAATGCCATACCAAAGAAAGAGACGAGTAAATATCAGCGTACTGCATGCACCTTGGTAACTGTGAAGGTTCCTGAGAACTTTACGCTTGAAAACTATTGACCCAATCCAGTGTAGATAGTCCATATCAGTGTACACATAGAAGTTCAAGATGCACACACGAAACATTGGTTTGTCTGGTGCATTCAGTATTGCTTTCGCTAGACAGTACAAACAAATTCACACGTGCCTGCATCCCCGACTGCAGCAACGCTTTCACCGTGTTAACCATGAATTACTGTTGCAAGATATACGGAACCATTATCTAACACTCTCTAGTCATTTTCTCAAGGATAATTCCACTAAACGTACTCAAGTGACTAAACCTCCTCGCTAATTCCCACAACTTCCGGTGTCCTTCAAGGATTTATTCTAGTACCCTACTTATTGGCTACTTCCAAGATATGCTGCAGAGATAATAATCGGTATGAATCATCCGGCCTCGATTTCTAAAGCCAAACTGTCATGTTGTTTGGACGAGATAATACAGTGGTCGAAACCCCGCCTCTTGATACTGAACGAGTCCAAATGCAATGAAATTCGGTTTTCACACCATAAGACAGCCCGTTAATGGAAATTCGCCCCGAAATGCATTAAAATTTAGATAGATGTTGATAGCTTGATCCTCTATACATCAGTAAAATGTATTTGATCCACGAGTTATGGTGGTCACTACGTGTGAATAAAATATTTATCAAAGTCTGGCAATTTTCATTTTACGTCTCTCCATTGCAATCATTCTGCTTAGCACACAGCTCAAGTAAGAAGTTTAACAAATTTTTATTCTGTCCCACTGAACATAATGCTCACTTGTAATTTTTAGGCCTAAGCGGCACCGTTTCAGCATTTTGACAAGTCGCTGAAGCAGTTGTCTCTTTGCAGCTGCATTTCCAAGTCAAATTCATCGCAAACATAAGGACTGTATCCCAAAAGAATCTGTTTTTGTGTCATTCCTACCAACATTGATGCCCCACGAACGATGATTTCGTTCTGGTTTGGACTCATCAGGTGGATAAAGCCTGAGCTGCGATGGGGCACAAAGCCTGGTGGCTCACGGCCGACACGTTGATCATTATGCCAGCGTGACCCGTGAGAAAAACTTGGCTCAGCGGATAAAATGTAAGCGTTGCTCAATCAACAACTAACCCCTGAAATGTAAGCAACTCAACATGCAGCCGCGCTTATAGACCAACTGCAACAACGATGAGGCACACGTACCGCATCGATCAGCCTATTGCCTTGAGGAAGTAAAGCGAATGGAAGTGGACGCAGCGCACCTACCAATTGCTGCGCTATGTTTAGATGATCTGCTGGCTCGGCGTGTTTGAAATGCTGGCCTCACGTAGCAACGCTGGTGGCATATCAAACCAGCTTGGCTCAGACACTCGCGAAGACGTGCCTCAGCAACTTGAGCTCGACGTCGGAGTGGTAGACTCCATGGGTGCTTGTCTCTTCCATACTTGGCGCATCTCCTCCCCATTTAACAGTGCTTTCTCCTACACGTGGGCAACCGCCCTCTAGACCGGCTCACACAATTTTCACCAATCAACTGTCTTTGTCTCCCAGCAACTGGTATCGACATTAGTTCGTGAGATACTCATCTTGATCATGTTCTTGTAAAATAAATTCGGTTTACCCCAGTGCCGGTTCTCTGAACTAAGCTAGGAGTACAATAGTTGTTTAGGCATGCTTGTCAAATTCATTCAGCTGATAAGCCCCAGCCACCTCTGGTGCCGCAGAAGTAGTGGGCAATCTACCGCATTCATGCCACTGTGGCGCAGCAATTTCGATTCGGTAACACTGTCCTACCAAGGGATGCGCGGACTCCGTCGCAGACACAGTTGATGAAATCGCTCTACAAAACTGACGTCCTTCCGGTACATCGTCTATGATTCGCTGCCACATAGAAGAACGGACAGCGCCATTGACTTATATACCATCAGCTTCCTTCCAACGTAAGCTGGTCTATTTTCCACACACCTTTCTCCAGGTAGACAAATGCAGCAGCCGCCTTCGATCCGTGGCTCTGAATCCCGCTCCTTATCTGCAGGTCGGTTGGTAGTACGCTCTCAATGCAGCAAATTTTCAGTGCAGTTTTTATCACGTCTTCCGCAACCTGGATTTGGGGCAAGCCCACGGAGTTCATAAATGGCGAAATCTGCAAAAGACAAACAATCTTGCTTGTGTTGATAGTGTGTCCGAAATTTGCCGCTGTCGAGGCCAAAGCTGACGTTATGAACTGCAGCTCATCCGCGCTGTGAACAAACTAAGCACAGTCGTCGGCAAACATAAGGATAGTTGTCTCACAAACCAGGGTTCTCGACCCAAAATGACGGAGGTTCAGCAACTTACCATCAACACGGCGCTGCATGCTGACGTCGTGGTCTTAAGCAGTACCAAAAGCACAAGACATTATTGCATGATAAATATTAAGCAAGTTATAGACTAAGACAGCATTATTTCACAACAGAGACAACAGCAAAGTCATCCGATCTTTGTCCACACAGCTGCATCATCGCCCACATAACACCGGGAAGACACGCCATTAAACTTACAAACTTACTCGAATAACCAAACTTGCCCAGCAACAGCCAACAGTGCTTCACGGTTCACCGCGTCATATGCCTTGGTAAAATACACATACAGCGAGTACAATGGCTAGTGTCGATCTATACATTTCTGCTGCAACGGACGAACCACGAACACCATATCGATGATTGTGCGGCCCGAACGGAATCCGCAATGTCTTTCCGCTACGTTCGGTACAACAAACTGAGTGACGAGGCGCTTGAGTGGGATTCGCGCCATCACTTTTCTCACACAATGTAGCAAGATGATGCCACGATAATTTCTACAAACCTTGCTTGCTCCATTGGGCCTTGTACAATTGTTGCACAAAGACATCCGTCAGTTCGGTCGAAAGCTCCTCCTTAACTCACACGCGTTGCACAAAGCAGTGCAGCGCAGTTACCAACGCGGGTACGCTATGTTTCAATACTTCAGGCAGGATTCTGTCGGAACCGGCACATTTGCCTTTTCGCAGCTTAGCAAGTGCTCTATGCGTCGCAAGCACTGTCGGCGTGTTGGCAAAACACATCTTCATCTGTTGCTTTTGCGATCGATGCAACGCATGCCAGGCCGTCTCTAAACGAGTGTTCAAGATGGGGTAAAAGTTCGTTCGTCAGATCTGTTTTATGTATGCAGTCTGTATGCAGGCAGCGTCTGAACTAGCATGCACCAGAGTA